CGCATAAGAAAATCGATGAGTACCAGAAGCGCCTGACCATAACCCAGGCTGAGCTGGAGCGGGCGCTGCGCGAGAAGCAGCACACGCATGAGCTGCTCGTGGATAGCAAAGAGAAGTGCTCCAATTTGGACAACAACATTGAGAAGCTGCGCTGCGAGAAGCGTTCACTGGAGACGGAGAATACCCAGCTGGTTGGTCAGCTGGAGACGGCTCAAACGCTGCTCGCCGATGTGCAACGTAAATATGATATGGTCGAGCGGGATCAGCACAGGCGAGAGGATCGCAACACAGATATGCGCATCAAGCAGCTGGAGGAGCATCAACGCGCCCAAACGGAGTTACTGCAGCAGCAGCTGAGCCAGCTGAGCGATCAGCTGGACAAGAAGAAACAGGAGCTCGATCAAATGCATATGCGCTACAATGCGCTGCAGTCCAGCCACGAGTCCATGCTGCTGGACAAGGCGGCCAAAATCAATGAACTCAACTCCGCGCTGGATGTGGCACAACGGCGCGTCCAACAGCTGGCCGTCAAGCCCAACTACGAGGCGGAGTACACGTGCCAGCAGCAGTGCATAGCGGACCTGCACGCTCAGGTGGCCAGCATGGAGCAGACCATAGCGCAGCTAACGGAGCGTGTTAATGGCACCACAGCGGAGCTGGATATGATGGATACGCTGATACAACAGCATCAAACCGAAACGGAGACGCCAAATAGATTGCCGTCCCGTCTGATGGGCAGCACGCCCCTAAATCCTGCCGATCGTATGGGACACATCAAGCAGGAGCTCTACCGGGCCCTAGCCAGTTTGAAGAACAAGCGTGAGGAAGTGCGCAAGCTGGAGAAACAACTCGACGAGCGCACCAATGAGCTCAGCACGCTGCGGGCGGAGGAGAACAAAACGCTGGTCCAGCTGGCCACGCTGAAGGAGGACAATTCGCGTCTGGAGACGCGCATTCGGGTGCTGCAGGAGCAGCTGGACGAGCGCCAGCACAACTCCACGCTCAATGCGTCCAAGCTGCAAGCTGAATTGGATGCGCTGTTGGCCGAGCGGGATGCACTGCAGCAGAAGACGCTGTCGCAAACGACCGAGCGCCAAAAGCTCGATAAGCAGCTGAAGCAGGCACAGCTGGATTTGGAGCAACTGCAGCTGGCGCATGAGCAGCTCCGGCGCCAACACGACCAGCTAACGGATGACAATCGACAGCTGCGCACCCGCGCCACGGCGGACAATTTGCGCTTGGAGCTGGAGCGGCACAAGATCTTGCTGAAGGATGCGCAGGGCGAGGTGGAACGACTGAAGACACTTTACACGGAGATTGCCAATGATAAGGAGACGCTGAGCTATCAACTGCGCAAGCTGAGCGAGACGGATAGCATCAAGGAGCTGCAGGAGCAGCGTCAGCAAATTGCCCAGCTCCAGCGCAATGTGCAGCTGGCGGAGCTGAAGGCGCAGGAGCTAACGAAAATACTCGACACGGAGAAGCTGCGACACGAACGCGAGCTGCAGCTGCTGCGCGAGAAATGGGAGCGCGAAATGCACGAGGAGGTGCTCAAAACGGCCAAGGAGAGCTCCAGCAATTGCGGCAAGTGCAGCGATCAGCTGGCCGAGGTAACCAAGGTAGGATGTAAAGTGCTCCAAACGGTCGCTGCTTTAACTAAATGTACTTACAGCTTGAAATCCAAATGCTAAAGCTGCAGAACATGAACTCCATGCAGGCCAAGGAGCTGAGCGAGCTGCGAAACGAGCTAGAACAGGCGCAGGCTCTGCACGTGGAGCTAGAGGCGAAGCTCGAGCAGGCGGCGGAGCAGAAAAAGCTGCTAAGCGAGCTCAAGGCCAAGGCGGAGCTATATGAGCAGCAGCTGCAGCAGGAGGCAGCCAAGGCGGCCGAACAGCAGCCCAGTTCCCCCAAGCAGACAGCCGCAAATGAAGCCGAGGCGGCGTCACCCGCTTCACCGGAGCTCACGCAGGCGCGCATCAAGCGCATCGAGCAGCGTGTGCGCGACGAGATGGCCAAGCTGTTTGCCGCCGAGTTGAAGCGGTTTACGCAGCGCGTTCAGCAGACGGAGGAGCGTAGCCTGTGCCTGCAGCGCGAATATCAATTGGTCTGCCGGGATCTGCAGCAGCGCCAAACGGAGGTCGAGTTGCTGAAGCAAACGATTCTCGCCGAGCGCGAGCAAATGCAGGAGCTGCTGGGCGAACAAGAGGACAAGCAGAAGCAAATGCTGCACAAGTGCCGCAGCGAGCTGCAGTCGAAGAATCAGCGCATTGCGGATTTGCTGCGCGACCTGGACGAGCAGCATGCGAGCATCGAATCCGAGCGACGCTCCATGAAAACCGTCATGGCCGAATGGGATAAGCAAAAGCAATCCATTGAACAGGTGGAACAGCACTGGCGCACCCAGGTCCAGACGCTTCGCGAGAGCCACGAAGAGGCAATGCGTGCCGCACAGCTGCGGTATCAGAGCGCCAAGCGCACCGCCCACAATTACAAGCTTTACGCGGAGGACAAAGAGGCGCACATGAAGCGTGAATACGAGCGCATCAAGCTTGAGTATCAGACCTCGCTCACCCAAATCGAGGCCACCATGCAGCAGCATCTGCAGCGCAAGAGCCGCGACCGCCAGCGCAAGGTCAACGACAAGGAGAACGAGCCCAGCAATCGATAGATATAAGCTATATGGTAGTATAAGCTATGCTTAGTCGAATTGTTTATAGTTAGCTAGTCTTAGGTACAGCCCATACAATTGTTTTTATATGCACCTGACTTAAGAATAGAGTATATACATTTCAACATTCCAATAGCTAAGCTGGTGCCTTTTTGAGCTGCGTCCAGCATTTGTCCAAGATCACAAAGAACTTGTCAATTTCCGAGCGACGAATGCCCAGAGCTGCGGCTACAGTCAAATAAGGTACCTCCAGCAGATCATGATGCGAACCAAAATCTGAAAAAAATTAAGCAGAGATAAATTTGCATTGATATTCTTTCTAAAGTATCAGAATATATTAATTTGTATCTTTACTCAATTTGTTATTGATTTGTTCTTTGTAAATAATAACAAATTAAATAAACAAATATATCAATTTAAATTTACTGAAGGTAGCCTTATCTTATATATATATATATAATTTATACTATATATTTATATTAGATGTATAGTTTATATTTACAGATACCCACGCTTGAATTCGTAGCCATCGATGGATTTGGTCTGACCAACGGTCACCACTCGCACACCGGACACGCCGCGCGAGTGCAGCATGGCGCCCAGTTGGGTCACGCTGCGCTCATCCGCGCCAAGAGCTCTCAGTGTGCTCACGGTGAGGGCCAGGGAAATCTGATTATTGTTGCTCTGTGGCACGATTTCCCCGTGCTCTGCCGCAAATTGTTGCAGCCGCTGTTTGAGATATTGAAAATTTTGCTGACGTTCTTGTAGCAGAGCCTGGTAGCCGCGTTGTCCCAGCGAGAGGAGCGTCATGAATACATCCAGTGTCTGGGAGCTGCTGGCGCGACCTGCATAGCTGCTGGCCAGATGCTGCAGCAGCTGCTCATCGCAACTGGCCACAATGGCGCCGCCCACAGGAACTAGAAGATTTTTGTCAGTGCTCTGGACAAAGTAATCGATGCGTCCCACGCGCTGGGCACGCTCTAGCTGGCTGGTGATGGCCTCACACTGTAGTCCATACGCATTGTTGACCAGATGCGGCACAGCTGCGCTTTTAGCCAGCTTTGCCAGTTCTACAATGCTGTCGCAGTTGCGCGGTGCAAAGCAGCTGGTTGTGCTGTACAGACAGAGTATATTATCGGCGCCCAGTTCCTGGATGCGCTGCTCAAACTGGCTGCAATCTGTGACCAAGGCGTGCTCGTGCGCCAGCATCAGGTCAGGTATAACAATGGGCTGCAGGCCGGCGGCGGTGATGGCCTTAAAACAGGATTTCTGATCAATGCGCGACCAGAGCACATATTTGGCACTTGGCCGACGCTTGCGCAGCGCCTGCAGACACAAGGTCAGCGTCATGCCCGTTGCCAGGGGCACCAGAAAGCATCCGCGACAGCTTTGCAGGCCAAGCGTCTGTATCAGATCCAGCAGAAGGGCGTTTGTCAGACTGGCCAGCAGCGTGGAGCCGGCAGCCTTCGGCTGTGCCTCCAGCAGATCTCCAGAGCGCCCGATGCCATGGCCAAAGTTGTAATGGCGCCGCGACACGAGCTCTGAATCATAAAAGAACAATTTCAAGATTTCTTTACTTTATGTATATTTTTTACTTACTGCACGCAATTCGCGCCTCCCGCTCGCCCAGGCCCACTTTGTGTGCGAAATTGTTGCTGTCCAATGCGGCCAGCTGGTGCACCAGCTCCTCGATCTCCTCATCACGCCAACCCTGCTCCGGCAATTTCCGCTGCAAAACAAACAATTTCTTATCTCTATTTGCTTTATGTTTTTCTTCTGCATTTTTACTACCTTTTCCAGCAGTTCTTTGAGTTGGCGCTGCCTTCCTCGCTGCGCTGCCAATCCCAGCTGCAAATAGTTGTGCGGCACCAGCTTTTGGGGTATATTTATTCCATTGAAACTCATTGTGTAGCGCGCCCAATGTTTACTTAAGCTGGTATGACACCTACAGCATTGGTATTGCCGGTGTCATCCTACTACCATAATCGTCAATAATTTGCAACCATTGTAACCAGTGCTGCCAATCTTTACCTGCTTATAACTAATTTCAGCTATTTATGGCTACTTCTAACATTGGATTTGAAGCTCGATTGGCAGCATTGATTGAAACCGTAGGTGTCATTTCATTAATAGTTATAATCGATACATTTAGCGCCGTGAGAGCAACCTATCGATGTTTTCAGCACAGTCAGCGATAGTCATGCATTTCAGTGTTGGATAGCAAGTGAGCTGGAGCAGCGCGCATCAATACGACAGCGTCACTTAAACATTTCGTTTCAAATTCCTTTACAAGAAGTATTAATAAACAATTTGCCGTAAGGCGCAAAAACACAACATGTAAGTGCAGCAACAAAAGATAACAGGGCACACTGTAATTAAGGTGTTTTTGCAGGCCGCAAATAAGTGAGGACACAATGCGCGAGCTGGATGACATTTTGAATGAGAACAACCCAGATGCAAATCGTTTGACGGCGTTTCTAAAATTAAAAACCGCTCCAAAGCCAAAGGCCACGCCACAGTACGTGCTTGGCGGCTACGATGTGTCATTTGATGTAGACGTAGACTTGATAAAACTGCCAGAAAAGCAACAGCAACAACAACAGCAGGCTCAGCCAAAAGGTACACAGACAGTGGCTAACAAAAGAGCGCTACACGAGACATTTAACCTACCCTTTACAGAAAATGTGCAACATTTGGTGACAGAGTCACAGCCGCAACCCGAATTTCCCAATTCGCCGACACACGAGAATTTACCACCGCCGCGGCGCTCCCATAGCGTCTCGCCTGCGCACACTCTACGCTTCCAAGCGCCTCTCAGCGGAGGCACCCTGCCCGAGCCTGATAAATTGCGTCGTGTGGCCTTGAACAGACGCTCCCAGTTGGGTGGCCGGCGCGAACTGCAGAAGGAGTTCGACAATGCTGTAAATGAGACGCGCAAGCCATCGGGCTCCTTTGATTTTGTAAGTTTCGCCTTGTTTCAATATCGTCTTCCATTAACTGACAATCTCACAGCTGCCCACAGTTAGTAGCACGCCTGCTTCAGAGAAACCAGCAACCAGACAGTCGCCACAACAACAGAAGGAGCCGCAGCAATCGCCACAGCGATTACCACAGCGTTCGCCACAGAGCTCATCACCGCGATCGCCACACCGTTCGCCAGGAGCAGCAGCAATAGGTGCCGCCCTTGAGCCTCTGCCGCAACATGACCATTTCGAAACCAGCTTTGAGTCAAATCTAAAGCAAATGGACCGCAAGGAAGAGCGGCCTTCCAAGACGACAGCAGCACAGATTCCCTCGACGAGCACATCACAGCGTCTAGGGACCCCAACTAGTGTGGGCAATCGGGGCACCTTTACCATAGAAAAGGCAACAGAGCCCGCGCCCTTAAACAAAAGCCCAATCATGGGACAGCTGGCAGCAAAGGCTACTCCGTCAACTGCGCGCACGGATTCAAACGCTGGAAGACAGCCTCGAGTGCGTTTGAGACGCTCACCACAGCTGCAAAAAGCAATACGAATAGCACAGCAAAGCGATCGTATTGTGCCTGAAACACAAACCCAGGAGCATAGGCCACAAGTGGAGTCGCTGCCACAGGCGCCTCGAGTGCGTGTGAGACGCACATCCGAGCTGCTCGAGTCAACACGAACGTCCCATCAAATCGGGCCGGACACGGAGCATATTGTGCCGGAAACACAAACACAGCACATGCCACAAAAGGAGGCGTCAGCTGCGCCAGCAACACCGCCAAGATCATCAGCAGCCGCCACAGCAGCAGCAGCAGCTGTTAGTTGTGGCATACAAACCACTTGCAGTCCGGATAATATTCGTGATGATACAATGCTCAACGAAAGCGACGCTGAGATTACGGATAGCACAGCGCCGCTAAACTTGGCACCACCCGGTGGCAATACAACCAGGCAGCATCGCCGGTGCAGGAAGTCGCCTTGCCAGGAGGCGACCATGCAACTGCTCGATTTGCATCGCACGCGCTCAAATAATTTACCTGAGCAGCGCGCACAGAAGATAGCACAGATGGCACTCAATAAGCCGCCCCAGCCGGCCATCAACGGTGAACAGCTTGCCGAGGAACTGGCACGCATGAGCAACTTTGAGATACTTGATTTGCGCAAACGCAATTCATTGGGCAGCATCTATCAGCAGAGCGGGGAGCAGCAGCCGACCATCATGGAGCAGCAGCTGGTATTGGAGCAGAGCATACAAATGGAGATATTGCGGCGTAATCTGTCTGGTCGGGGCGAAGGTTTGCCCAGCAAAGTGACTGCACCCAGTTTAGAGTTAAATGCTTTGCCAGCGCCAGATGCAGCGTCGAGTGCACTCAACAAAAGCACAGCAATGGGGCGAAGCTTATCGATGCAACAGTTCAATAGCTCTACGTTGCTGCAGCCGCCGCGACGCTCGCGCTCCAGACGCCGTGGCGCACCCGTGGTGAGTGGCCTATCTGCACGTTTATCTAATCTTCGACATGCCGAAGATGCATACTTTTCATATTTTAATTCTAATTCAAAATCTCTTTAAAGACCACTGAGCTATTGAATTATTTGGAGCTCTCGCAAGCTATTGAGAAACGCCTCAAGTCACGCTCCAGGACGGACACTAAACGCAGTCTTTACACCAAGGGCAACTCGGACATCGAGGACAATCTGTCGCCGTTGCCGGCAAAACAGACGCGCCTAAGCGACAGCTCCATACAGATCGCACCCGCACCGTCGCCACATTCAATCATCGAGGATATACCCATCGTGCCGCCGCCATCAATCTCCATACGCTACTCGCGTCAGTCTCGCAGATCGGTCCGCTTTAGCTCTAATGTTGTGAACAAAGGGCCGCCAGAGGAAAACCCGGTGCAGCAGAGGGCAGATGCTGCATCAGATCAAACACAAACCTGTCCGGTTGGGATTGTCGATGATATACCCATTGTGCCGTCTCCACCAGCCTCTTTAAGATACTCGCGTCAGTCGCGTAGATCGGTCCGCTTCAGTTCTATTGATGTGAACGAAGAGTCGCCAAAGGAAAACCTGGTGCAGCAGGGGGCAGATGCTGTCGAGGATATACCCATTGTGCCATCTCCACCAGCCTCCTTAAGATATTCGCGCCAGGCTCAAAGGTCTCTGCCGGAGCCGCCAGATGAAATCATGTATGCGGAAGAGGAGCTGCAGCAAAGACCAAATGCAGCTACAGAACTGGAGGCTATATCCATTAAGCCGCATTCACCGGCTTCCAAACGATGCTCGCGCAGGTCGGTGCGCCTTAGTTCTACTGCTGTGAATGCAGAGCCGCCAAAGGAAATTAATTACGCGGAGACGGAGCAGGCGGATGAATTGACAGAAAGCTCTCAAGCTAAGATTATTGAGGATATACAAATTGTCCCGCCTTCGCCAGCCGCTATTCGATACACCCGCCAGTCGCGCGGATCTCTGCCACAGCCGTCCAAGAAGATCGCTTATGCTGAGGAGCAGGAGCAGGAACAGGGACAGATTCAGATTCAGCAAGGCACAGATGCACAAGGCGCAGCTGCTGAGGAGGAGGATTTAATGTTGCCGGCACAGCTTAACAATAATACAGAGGCGAGCAGTACGTGTATGGAGGAGCTGCGCATGGAAACGCCAACACCACCAGCTGCACCAGATGTATCAATCTTGGACCCAATCCCGATAGATGAACAGCCGAGCACCAGTAGAGCTGCACGCGAGGCACTCCAGCTGTCGATTAGCCAGGAACAGAGCAAAAACAGGAATGAATCAAAGGACCCTAGAAAACAGCAGAAGCCAAAGCAAAAGAAGCCAATAGGAGATGATGCTTTATTCAAGAAACCATCTGTGCCGCCGCCCAGGAAAAATCGAAAGAACCAATTGGACAGCGTATTGAATAAGCTGCGCATTACACTCGTCAACGAGACGTTGCCGGAGGAGGCGAATGCAACGAACGGAAACGATGATACAAGTAAGTATTAACATGTCTGGCTAACTGACTGACTGATTGAATGATTGACTGATCGATTGATTGACTGATGAGCAACCATAGCCCTTTAATAATGATACAAGTTAGAACATGTCTGATTGACTGACTGTCTGACTGATTGTCAGATTGAATGATTGATTGATTGACTGATGAGCGAAACACAGTATACACAACCATAGCCGGAAAGCTTAATTTTTCATAGAAGCTCTTATGACCTTTATTAATGATATAAGTTGAAAAATGTCTAATTGACTAACGACTGATTGATTGATTGGTTTAAACATAATCGAAATCGCAAGACTGAGAAATAGAGCTGGAAAGCCTAATTTTTCATTACAGGAATCTCAAATTTGTAAAACTAAAAAGTGACTTTAAATTAAATGAAAATAACCAAATAATAATAATAATTTTTTTTTCAATTGCCAGCTGGAGTTCGCAGATCGAAACGTGGTCACGTTCCGCTGCGCAACACTTGGGTGCACACTGTCAGCGATCCTTTTAAGTTCACCTTCTTTGAGCGCTCGCTTTCTTCCTATACCAACTTCGCAAAGGATAAGTCCAAGACAAGATCAGCTCAGAATCGCACCAATTCGTTAATTGTGAGACCGCCGCTCTGTAGCAGCACGCCGCGCGATGATAGTGAGCCCGGGACTACAGAACGCACTTCCGGAACGCTAAAGCGTAAGCGGGATTACCAGCAGGAGCCACAGGAAATGGGCATATCCCGACTATCCGAAATAACTGAAGAAGAGGAACAGCAAATGGAGCCGGAGAGCTCAGCTGTACGGCAAACCAAACGCAAGGCAGCAACGAAATCATTTGGACGCCCCCAAAAGCGGTCAAAGGATGATATGCCTCTAGAAAATCGAGCGCGACAAAAAAAGTATTCTCGAATATACTCTGACTCAGATTCCGAAACAGAATCAGAAGCAGATCCAATGCCGCGCTCAGAGGAATTCGAAGCTGCAGACGAGCCAGCACCTAAGTCGAGAGCTGCGCCTGAACTGGATCCGGCGCCCAAACTCAACGTGGCGCAAACCCAACTCTTGCAAATGACGGACTGGCTACGTGGTGTTAGCGATGTGCCGCCCGGATCCACTGAGGATGCGGCCAGCGTCGCGAGCGAAGAAGAAAACAATTCAATTCGTTTCAGTACGTTACCTTAATATACAATTACCTTTAATTTAGGCTCGCAGCCTAATCTGGTTTTTCAGACCTCTGAACACAGGCTGTGAGCTCGAACCTGCTTTCTTCACATTTAATTTTCCTAATTTTCCACAATTCTGAACCGTAGCTTTGAGTTCGAAGCTTCGTTTTGGGATTGTTTTCTTTTCGAATCTCCCGTCGTCACATTTTGTGTGCGCACTTTTGCCCGTCCCATTTTGGGTTCGAATCAGAATGACAATTAGAACATCGGCGCCTCACATCCAGTCTTCAGCCTGGTTACTTATATTATTGTACACGAATTTCTTGCAGCATCGGCGGCCAACTTGGATTTCTCGACTTTGGACGGCATTGAATACAGCTTCTATGGAACGGAGGACAAGTGCGCCATAGGCTACATGCGCTTCCAGCCGCTGCAACAGCGTGGCATGAAACGCAACAAGTCCAATACATTGGTGCGTATAAATATATGTTCAAATATATGTTGCACTTAATAAAATAACATTTTGTTTTTCCTTCCAGCGCTTTCTTGCGCTCTATGGAGAGTTTGATGTTCATCTGGACAATGGCTCGGCCGAGATGCAGAGATGCATTTTGAAAACAGGCGATTTGGTTGAGATTAAAATGGGTAACTATTATTTTTTTTTGGATTTCAAAGAGTATATCACACAATAATCTGTATTCCAATTGCTTTGCAGGCAGCCGCTTTAATATAACCAATCGTTTGAATGAGATCAGCCTGCTGATCGTGAATCGCAAGTGAATTGATACGCAGTTTATGTTTACATCAACATATTCACATGCCACACCGATAGATAAAACAAAATCTGCACATACAATGTATGTATATATTTCTTTGTTTTTTTCTTCGACTTTTGAATAGTTTTAAATCTTGTTTTTGTCTGTGCGACATGAATATAAATATATTTTGTTAACGTGAACACAAGAGCTGTTGAGATTGTTAATTTTTTTTTTATTGTTGTATTGTCTCGTGTCGGTATCGGTATCGGTGCTGGGTCTTGGAAATCCCTTAAATATCTATATGTGTATTTAAAACTAAATGTATATAAATTTCAGTTAGAGGATTCCTTTAAGTATGATTTGCTCCAGATGGAATTTTCAAATTTAAGGGGTTTGTTTAATAGATGTAAATTCAGTTGGTGCCGAAAAGATAAATATACCGTATATAAGTATATCACATATTTTATATTATCAAATATATATATACATATATATATTTGAAGCATCGGTCGAGGAATGACATCTTATTAGGGAAAATGTTTTGTTTTTCAAGATTATCTTCATAAATCTAGGCAGTTATGAGCCTCATATTGTGACATATCTGCAGTTTGCCTTAATTGTTTTTTTTTTTAGTATATTTAAAGTATTAAATTAATATTTATTAAATAAATCAATCTGAGTTGTTTGCTGAACTTTGCGTTAGCAACTAAACAAAACTGTTGCCTACTTTTCAGCGCGCGCGCAAATGAAACCCTTCTGTAACCTCCAAACCCCACCACTTGTTGGTTTTTCTCTCGCATTTTGTTGTTAGCGGAAAACTTTTGCATTGGGGTTAGCAAGAGCACCTACGCAAAAGTTGAGACAACGTCATCGCTAGGCGAGCGTAATCCTAGCCCAAGTACAGGCACACGCGTCTACTCTACATATGTATGTGTATCTCTCTATCTGAGCTGCTTACAATTTCAAGTTCATTTAATTTCCATTTTCTCGCAATTTTAGCAAGTTGCACGTAGCACATGGGTGTGTGTCTGTGTGTGTGGGACTTCAAAAGCGAAACGCAAACAAGCAAAAAGCAACAACATTAAACAACAACAACAACAAGAACTGGAACAACAATGATGATGATGATGCTGCCGACTTCTGTTTCTGCTCCGCTCTGCATGCAACTTTTTAACACATTTTGCACGTTTGCTTTGTGTAGCAAATGTCTTAAAAGTAACAAGAAAAAACTGTAATCTGCAGAGTGCTGACAATTTAATACCCTAACAGTCACTATCTGTCATATCAGATTTGGGATATATACACACACATGCACACACACACATGCTTTGAGCTGCTCAACTGGCAGGGCTAAGGCAAAGTTTAGGTAGAATTTTTAGTCAGTTGACTTATTTCCATTTCCATATTTTCATAAGTTGCTGTAACAAATTTAATTCTAGCTTTATGTGGAACTCTGGCAGAGGTGTTCAGGCCATATTTCTTTAGTGGAGGTAAGGGGTTACGACAGAAATTAAGCGATAGTTTTAGTGGCTAAAAGTCTCACACTTTTCAGCTTTTTAATCCTACTCTGTACTTACTGAAATACCTAATCTTCGGCTCATTTTTCCCATGAGCTCTTTATAACATAGTTGTCCAATTTTGTTAGGACTTGTTATATATGTGAAATCTATAAAAGAGTTCATATTTTTAAGTCTGTTTAAGATATCTTGAAAAACAAACTACAAGAACTGAAGTTTTTTCTAATATTTCCTACAGCAGCAAAATGATATAGTTTTTATAGTCGGCAAATGTTCTCTCTACAAATAAAAAAAGATACTCGCCAAGTTTAATCAAGATATCCTTACGAATTATCCATCGAAACATACGTATAATGAAGAAGACCACGAATTTAAATACCTTATCGAATAGGAGATGTTGTCTCCTTCTTTTTGACAAAACAATAACACCCGCTGAAAGGGTAAAATAAAAATACATACAATTGCCGTGAGAAGACGCTGACAAAGTGTGAGGAAATGTGTAACGAGTGGGTTTGAGGCTCATAAACTGTGCGAGGGAATGTGCTCTAAATAGGTGTACACTATAGTTGCATAATGGTCAACGACTAGCAGATACCCATCAAAAGTTGAGATTGTGTTTGAAGAGTTTTTAATATATATACTGTTTTTTATTATAAACTATCAACGTAATTTAGCAAGAGAAAGGGGCAAATCTGGGCATTAAGTCTCTTTTATATGGGGTTCGAGCCCTCTTTCATTCTTTGCTCACTGTGACTGTTTGTATTTGGAGATTATATTTGTAGAATAAGCTCTCTCATAAGCGTTTTGAACCCTCTTTCTCTGTTTGATTCCTTGTACAGTCTGCTGCGGTTAAAACTTTTGTGCAGCTTTGATTATGTTGATACCTTCTCTGATAAGTTAAAAAAAACTTTATTTTAAGACAAGGCTGACAAATATATCAATATCAATATACCCTCTACGCACGTTTAGTGTGGGTAGCTGAAGTAAAATTAAATCAACAGTCGAGCAGTGATGAAAGGTCGCAAGGAATCGACTGGAGGTTCGTGCCAAATGCTGTGTTTTTTGTGGCTGAGAAATGTATTTAAAATTAACAAAACAGCAACTGGCATGCATTACCAATGCGTAAAGCTCAAATCCTTTGATCAAGCACACGCGCACAGCGCGACGCCAACTGAAGGGCTGATAAACACCTCACGATGTTGTTGTTGACAACATTTACCAAGCCTTGCCTCGAAAGTGGCCTGGTCACACGGCTGACGGGTCACGCCCACTGTCAGGTGAAACTTCTGCATGCCAAACAGTTTGACACGCACCGCACACCGAATGCCAAATACTTAGCGAGTGGACTACGTGTCCAACCAGTTGCTCCTGTTACGGGTTGAATTTAAATTCGGACAGCTTGACTCTCACATACCCTTAGCTATGCACAGTTCAACATTTGGGCTGGAAAGAAATCAAAAATTGAATTTAAATCTTATAACTACATTTTGTGGTATTTTATGTGCGATGTGTGGAGATTACGAGGGAAACCCGCTTAATTTGAAGCTGAAGAGAATGCACTAGTTCCTCGGCATGCAGCTGAGCTCTGTTTTACAAAAAGTTATAAACATCTGGGTGAATATTCAGTGTGAATATATTATTCAAAGACTTTTTAGGGCACCATTTTAAGTGAGAAACTCGGTCATCCACAGGGATGATAAGTATATGTATTAGGTGAAGGTCTGGAGAGTGTATATATATATATATTTATGTACAAATATCCGTAGTTTTTATAAGGGATATCAAATTTGCTTGTTAATTTAGATAAATTTAATAAAAAACTGTTGAAAAAGAAAGCTGCAAATGGTGATAGGCTTCGAACCCGGGGCTTCTCGCCTAAGAGACGAATATCTTGCTATCAAGCCACACGCGCAATTATAAAACACATTGAATAATATGTGTTGAAAAATATCTCTTAATGGTGGTGATGTCCGGCCTCGAACCTGCGGCTTCTCGCCGTCGGGACGAACGGCTTGCCATTAAGCCACACGCACAACTAGGAAACATTACTTCTTATGTAAAAAGAGAGCGAGAGAGTGAAAGAGAGAAAATGAGAAAATAAAGAGAGGCTGAGCATTGAAATTGTACGCACAAAATTTTCGTTTGTTTTAAACCGCAAAGCTTTAATCCTGGAAATCATTGCATCAAATATTAATTCCGAAAATGATTTAAATTTAAATCGATTTGAAATTAAATGTAAGCCAACATTTTGAACTGTGTCGGTTATAATACACCGCACAGCATTTGTGGCATGATTGATGGACAAAATAATGATGATGATGATGATAATGGCAGGTGCTTGTGCAGGGCATAAGCAGTTGGCAGACATCAAACATCTAAGCTCATTACAAAGGTAAACATTTTAATTTTGTGCACACATTTGCACAGGCGTCGTTCGCCCTAAGACGATGCGATACGCTCTGCCAGGATATCGTGCTGCAAGTAGTCCACACACACACACACACCCACACACACCATAGGGCCATCCCACTGAGGTGGAGCCAACTTTCAATTGAATTGCATCAAAGTTTTGCAGCGCTGTAAAAATTTAATTAAAATGTCTGTCGCATAAGTTAAATAATACAGAATAATTATAATGCACAGAACTTTTTCCTATCTAGAGATGGCCATATTACGGGCTTCCTTCCTTTTTTTTCACTACTCGAGACGATCACGAAACCCGCGCGCACGGCTTTACGCTCGACCTTTTTTTTTTGTTTAGTTAGGTAAAAAAAGTTTAGCTTTTGACTGTGCTGAGCCTGATTATATAAATGGTTTTTATATTAAATGTATATTTTATATATAGTTTCCAATCAACTCTAATATTTATTCTTAATTTCAACACTGACCAAATTTTTATGTTGAATTTAAGTTTTTGTAGCTTCTTTCCTCATTCCATGTTCCTCCCATTTCAAGCATTCATTTATTTTTCGTGTTGAGCCGTGCATGTTCGTGTCACGCGCCCAAATTTTGCCCGCACAACTTTTTCTTTGTCTTGTGTGTTGACGTTGAAACGAGATTTGTGTTATCAAGTATACGCCGTGTGTGCAACCCAATCCGCAACCCGTAGCCCGCACCCCGCACCACGCATCCCGCACTCCGCTCGCTGGCCACAAACGGGCTTCCAAAAAGGTGTTCATGCATATTTAAAAACTTGACGGGGTGTGAAGTGCGGATTGCTTGTTGTTGTCCACAAATCCATTCTGAAATTGGCCGCCTTGCTCCGTGCATCTGCACTGCGAGCCACAAAAACAACAACAACAACAACATCGGCCAGAAAGGACTCGCCAACAAGTCGAGTGTAAACTTTTTCGTCATGTCCCGGCAACCCGCCTCAACACTCTCCTTCGTCGGCGCCTGAGTGTCTCATGTGCCTGGCACATGGTCGCATAATGGACCCATGTCAGAATTTAATGTGGTTCTTTTTGTGGCGGGTCAACTTTGCATATATGCCAAATAGCTGACCGCAGCTTTTTGTTGCCATTATTTTTGTTGTTGTGGTTCGAAAGTGTCGGCAAAAGGCAGAAGAAGAAGAAGAAGAAGAAGCGTGTATGTGATATCACAGTTAATTGATTTGCCAATCCAACGATTGTGCAGGCGCATATTAAAGAGGCATTAGATCTACAAATATATGGCAAATATTATTTACCATAGCAAGCACATGTACAAAAATTCCTTATAATATTGCCTTTAAAGAGCTTTTGATTTTAAATAATGCACTAGATTTAACATTGCTGAAGTTGATCTGCATTTTTGTCAGTGTATTTTTTATTTTTTGTTAACTTCCACGCCAACTATCCAAATAGAAGCATTTAATTTATTGCTCAAATATTGTAAAATTTAAAAATAACTCTGGAATGGTTTTAACACAAACATCAACATGTTTTTTTGAATGCAAAGTAAATATTTTTGCGGCGCACGCAAATTTATCCTAAATATTTGCTTAATTGCATTTGTTTCATATGCCAAAATATTTTTAATTGAGTTTTTAAAATGTTTTCCACACAATTATGAAAAATCAAATGTAATTTGCTTAAAATTGTTGTTGATTTGGATTGTGCCTTTAGTGCGCTCCATTTAAACGCGAGTGCCCCAAAAAGCAGGCAACAGAAATTGAAAATCGCCGCGTGGCAAATGCAAAACCAAATGCAACGTGTCGGGTTGGCCTAATTGCAGGCCAGACTTTAATAGCATGCCACACACACTCACACACACTCACACACACATACACACACCCAACCACACAAATCCCACACATACACACTCCCACATTCATTTGATGCCGAATAACTAGCAGCAGCACAGAATTTCGCCCAACTTTCGGCACTCTTGAATCCGCACGCGTCTAAATCTCTATAGTCTCTGTATAAAAAAAAAAAAAATATATATATATATGTATATACGTATATACTATATACATGCCCACTCGCATATCCATTTTCAGGCAAATTTTCAGACACGTTGCGCCTCACGAATGTTAATTAACGCTGCGGCTACGTTCATTGCATTTGCGGACTGATTAAAGCAGCCCCAAAACAAGTCTAAAATATCTATGCAAATGCCAAATGGCAAATGGGCGCCACAGCTGCAGTGTCTGGCTCCATTAAAAGTGCAGCCGTTGACCGAGATCTTCCATGCTGCGGCATAATATATTTGAGTACTTTATGGTGATGTCTGCTAAGCTTTTGCCCAGGTGAGTTGTTGGCCTGACCTTTAAATTGTTGTTACTTTTGTATTCATTTTAATGAATGTAAAATGCCCGATGTTGCTCATGTTCAAATACCCTGTGCGCACAAAAGACGGGTATGTTGCTAATGTGTGAATGTATGTAACAGTCGGACGTAGGGATTTGAGATCCCATAAAGTTGGAGTCGATCTAGTCGAGCTAGTCAGCACGACTGCCAATTCTCGCATTTTTCTTTCGATAACTGCTTTAATTTCCCCGATAATCGATAAATATCGATTTCATTTCCTCGTTATTTTAACTTACTATGGAGTATTTAAAAGCCTTAAACATCATATAGAATCATAAATAACATATAATACGTGACTTTTTGAGTCCTGCCTCCATATACTGCCAACTTTAAGAGTTCGATTATTTTATTATACAAGTTCTTTAAGAATCTATTTCTTATAATGGGGAATGCTCATACGAAGTAGAAGAAGCGACCTATGTGTGGGTGTGTGTTGGGTACAGGGTATCTTTTATTGCCAGCTAAAATATCTATTTTTGCCAGCTAAAATAAATTATTCAAATTAGTTCTCGTTCTGCACTGAGAAGGGTTTGATTTGCGGGTCGGCTTCCCGCTGGTCATCCAATTCCGGTAACCGGTATTTTGGTTAACCAAGAAGGTTTTTCGTTTGCGGTCAACATAGCCAGAGGTGTGTGCGTGTGTGAGTGTGTGTGCGTGTGTGAGTGTGTGTGTGTGTGAGTGTGGGAGTGTGTGTGTGTGTGTGATCATAATTAAACTGCGGTAATTTGAATAGCTTTTGAATGCCATTCGGGCGCACTTTTAAATGACATCAGCTTAAGTCTGAATTGAAATGTATAATAAAAAATAAATTAGAATAAAATTCCAAAAGTTTAGTTGGCAAATCGCAGTCAATTTGCAATTTAACTGCAGAACTTTCAATTGCCGCAATTGCTTTTAATGCAATTAAAATATTTCCCATGCCAAAGCGCACGGAAATGAAAATTCAAATGCGATTTTTTGTTGGGCAATACACAAATTAAACATAGAGCAGATATGTATATTATTTGAAATTTGATTGGGCAGCGGAAATGCAGCGTGTGGCTTATGCATGGCGGCATTTGAATTTCCTGCCGCCAACTGGCCTATCTCTGCGAGGGGGAGGGGGGGGGGGCGGCGGGTACACAACGTCAGTCCTGCCAGGCTCTGGACCAAAACGCAAACTTCAATTTTGGACGCACAGCCGCCGGCTAATGGAAAAGCCTTTTGCCAAACCCCAACCGCAAGGTAGGCAGTCTAGCATATGTCCTGCCTGAAAGGACGCATCGGTGCAGGCGTGCCCCAAAAATTGCAATTGATGTCCAGCCAGAGCACGGCTGGCAGCGGTGCCCGGCGCCCGGCCAAAGTGTTTTCATATGTAAGAAAGGCAAATGGTGAAGCGTAAACGTGTACGAAATTGCAGGCAAAGTGGTTGCCCGCCGGGATTCTGTCCCGCGTCCTGTCCAGCACAGTTCAGGCCAGAAATGAGCAACAGTTCGTTTTGGACCGGAAAGCGGCTTTCCAGCGTGGGCTTGTCCAATTGGGGCTGGCGCAAGCGCAAAATAGGTATTGTGGTAGGGGAAGCGTTAGTCGTAATTGTAGTGTAAAACGCAGTAGAAAGTGGAGTAGATTTAGAAAAGTAGCTAATTTAGCAGCAAGTGGTTGTAGTAGAAAATGGAAAAAAAGTTGAGCTGAAGCTGAAGCAAAATGTTGAAATTGAAAATGTAGTTTAAAGTGAAGTTGAAGATGTTGAAGAAATTCTAGTTGAAAGTTTCAAAATTTCCGAGCTTGAACAGAAATTGTAGTAAAATGTGGAGAACATCTATCAAATTTTACTGACATGTTCAATATTATTTAAATATATATAGACTAGCGTGTAATGCCCGGCCTTGCCCGTGGAAAATTGAAATCTTCCCATCTTGATCTCCACTTATATTTAAAAATATGTTTGACTGTTGGAATGAACGGTGAGAATCTTGAAGCTGAAGAATAAGTTTTCGTTTATTAAGCCTTTGAACCGCATTTGCCACGTAGCCGATCGGATGGTAAGCATTTCCCAAATCGCTGAAACACGTATTACCATAAGGTTCTTATGTAGAGCTTTGAAAATATTTTTGAAGTAAATCGAAAATTAAAACTTCGCCCAAAACTCTTTGAATCTCATTTCTACCGAGGAAGCTTGGATTCTGCGAGATCTTTGGAAATAAATTTAAGCCAAAACGTCACCCACCAAATCTTTCACCCCCACCTCCACCAAGGAGGAATGCATTTTTCGAAAAGTGTGAAACGCCCCTCAAATTTATTTGAACGAAGATCTTCGAAATTGAGTTTGAGGCCGATAGGATGGTAAATAAAAAAGTTTGAGGGTGGAATGTCCAGATACCCCATCTTAAAGTGCACCTTTATCACATAAGGTAACTACAGTAAAAATTTGAGATTCCTAGCTCTTACCGTATGGGCTGTGCGTTGATCACCAATCAGTCATTCAGTCAGTCAATCAGTCAGTCATTGAGTCAGTCAATAAGTCAGTCAGTCAGTCAGTGAGTTAGTCAGTCAGTCAGTCATTCAGTCAGTCAATCAATCAGTCAGTAAGTCAGTCAGTCAGTCAGTCATTGAGTCAGTCAATAAGTCAGTCAGTCAGTCAGTGAGTTAGTCAGTCAGTCAGTCATTCAGTCAGTCAATCAATCAGTCAGTAAGTCAGTCAGTCAGTCAGTCATTGAGTCAGTCAATAAGTCAGTCAGTCAGTCATTCAGTCAGTCAGTCAATAAGTCAATAAATCAATAAGTCAGTCAGTCAGTTAGACAGTCAGTTAGTCAGTCAGTTGGGCAATCAGTCAATCAGTAAGACATTTAATCATTAAGTCAGTCAGTCAGTCAGTTAGACAGTCAGTAAGTCAGTCAGCCAGTTAGTCAGTCAGTCAGTCAGTCAGTCAATCAGTCAATCAGTCAGTCAGTCCGTCAGGATAAACAGTTTTATATATAGAGATATATATTTATATGTATATACACACGCACAGATAACCTTGCAATAGTCAGTCAATAAGTCAATAAGTCAGTCAGTCAGTTAGTTAGTCAGTTGGGCAATCAGTCAATCAGTAAGACATTCAATCATTAAGTCAGTCAGTCAGTCAGTTAGACAGTCAGTAAGTCAGTCAGCCAGCTAGTCAGTCAGTCAGTCAGTCAGTCAATCAGTCAATCAGTCAGTCAGTCCGTCAGGATAAACAGTTTTATATATAGAGATAATTGATGGATTGTGTTGTGGGCTCAGCTTCACCCAGTGTAAATGTTGTCATTTGAAAAACGTTCTTAAATTTGTTCCACTGATGTAACTGATTGGTTGGATTTGATTGATTTTTCTCTATTTCTAAATAAAATATATTCTTTAAATAAAGCCTCTTGAGTCTCATAGGATTTTTGAAACAATTTTGTTACCATTTCGCGTAGTTTGTCTCAAGCAGCTTCCCATCCGCAAACCACTTCCTGTTGTGCCCATATCAGCTGATGGCCAGCAGCTGGCAGCTGACTGTGTTATCAGCCACCTTCGAACACCCACCCAGCCAGTAGGTGGCAACACCTGCTCACTGGAACAGGTTGCAACTGGAAGCCGCTAGGCGCCGCTGGCTTCGTGTGCGCGTCGTCGATTGTCGGTTGTTGGTTGTCGACATTCGGCTGCGGCTCGGCTGAATCGTTTTGTGTTGCCCTGTCGCAACAGTTTGGGCCACATTTCAGTTCCTGGTCGGCGTTGCACGTTAACGGTACCCCGAACGGAACCGAATCGGAGCACAACAAGTGACGTTTTTTTCGCCTTTGTTTTCGTATTTGCATCGCGAGTTTCCACCAAAAACAAAAGTGTTAGCAACACCAATTAAGGCGTGCGTTAATCGTTCAACCAGTGCTAAAAAAAACAAATAAAAAACCAAGCCAAACTGTGCTCAAAAATTGATCACGCTTATAGAAATTTGATGTTATGGGCCATTTGTATGCGCAACACTTGGGCTGATTGATATTCAATATCACTTTGAAATATCGCAAAAGGTAATGCCAAATGTGTTCTTGTGAAGTTTTGTACATCATTGTTTTATAGTAACCGGCAATTTAGTGTTGCGAGACACTTTATCACACGTTTGTTTTTATATTAATTTTTAATTGAATTATGAATTGGTTTTAAATAGTTTTTGTTAACTATTCGAAACCGATTAAGAGTTTAGTCGGCTATTTGGTAAAAGGAATGTTTAAGTTCCATATGGAGTATTTTTATGCTTTCTACTTGATTTATTTACTCTTACACAAAGTTAATAGCCTTGCATAGGGTATTTTAATTTGATCACGTGTGTAACGTTTTGAACCCGTAAAGTATATGCATTCGTGTCTTCTTCATCTCGATCTGTTTCTCTGCTTTTATGCAAATTAGTCTCACTTTTAAGCTATCTTCATGAAACTTATGAGCTTTACTATGTTCCTAATATACAAGCAAAATCTTTTCATTATCACACTCGTAAAGTGTGATAAGTAGAGAAAAATATCGCAAATGTTCTATATGCGGGAAAGGGATTTTAATCTTGAGTCAAGTCTAAAGAGAACCTAAATTTCTCTCCCGCTCTTAAATATAAGTTAATATTTAAACATATTTCTTTTTGAGTTTACAAGTTTTTCGAGAATCATTCTTGGTTTCAACAAAGTTAAAAACTGCTGTTTAACTCATTTTAAACAACTTACAAAGTCGTAGTCTTTCATAAGCAAGTATTTAGTTAACAATCATTTTAGCCAACATTTGGCCTTAATTTAACGCCCAATTTGGACTCATTAGAACTGCCAATGGCATTCGAATCTGGTAATCCTGTATAATCCTTCACAATGTTGCAGCTTGAAAGTCAACTCAAGTTCATCTGGCGTCAATTGGGTGTGCAAAATTTTGCATTTTGTTGCAATAATTGCAAGCCACGGCACGCACACACTAACTGAAG